TAAGTGCAAAAAATGCCGTTTTTGCCCGTTTTTGAAGTTGTGTATGCAAGCCAGAGTAATTTTTCCAAACAAAAATTGCTGCGGATAGTACACATGGCCGCTATGTTACTTACATAATTTTCAAGATATCGAAAAATTATAGGTTAGAATATCTCAAAATCCAGATTGAATTCAGCGCACCGAAAACCTTCGGGAAAGTATAGTCTGGTTTCTGGGAAAAAATTTTTCGACCTGTGTAAATAAGTTAAATTATATATTTTAATAGTGTTTAAAAAATGGAAACTGGTGATTTAGTGCCCTTTTTACCGTGTAATTGCTGTTTATAACTTTTAAATGGTTAATAATATTTTGTGTTTTTTTCAAAGCCTGGATCGGTTTTGGAAGATTTTCCCAAATTTTCCCCTGCATTTTACTGGAAATGGGTAAACAAACACAACTATTGTTACAGTTCGAACTGTCAAGAAAAGCGAGGATAGTCGTATGTATGCCTGGATTATACCTTGGTAATAATACACGGGGCGAATCGTAACAAATTGAGGCGAATTCGTAAGGATCTATTGATTTTAGATGCTTCCGGTTTACGTTGCGTTCAAGTGCATTATAATCGTTTGAATTCATTGCCCCTACAATAGATAATTAAGTGACAGTTCACTCCGTTCCGTTACTTCCGTTATAATCCAGGCATTAGTTGCGTTCATTATCTCCCAGAAATAGTCAGAAAAAGTCCGAAGTAGTCAGATTTAGTCCAAAAAGCGATCCTTAACTCGAAAATGACAGCAAAAATGAGAGAGCAACACACAGTGAGAGTGACTCTCTTCAGTCCGAAGTAGTCAGATTTAGTCCCAAGAATTTTTTCTGGTAAAATCCTGAAAAGTGTCAAACTCAACTGAATTTAAATGAACGGAAATTAAAGAATACGCAAAAAGTGAAAATAATCTATTAAGTAAAAAAAAGTGAATTGAAATGGGAAGGAGGCAAAAAATAATTGATATGGTAAGTGTTTATTGTGCTTGTGCCTGTGTGAATGTGTTTTGCACATACATTTCCATTCTTATTTGACGTTAGTTTTGTTGTTGCCATTCTTTGGACAAAAAATTTGGTTTTTTGCGTTCCTTTACTTTTCCTGTTATTCTCTTTTAGTGAGCGCATTTTGCTTACGCTCCGGCATTTTGACACTTTTCAGATTTTAGTGCAAAAAGATAAGGAATGAACCTATTGGCCCGTAGTCATAGTCAAAATAAAGTCGACTTTAAAGTTAGTTGCAGCTTTTTGACATAATTTTCAATGGGATATCTGTCAAAAAAGCTGCAACTAACTTTAAAGTCGACTTTATTTTGACTATGACTACGGGCCATTATAATGGAAGTAACGGAACGGAGTGAACTGTCACTTAGGGCCGGTTGTTCAATGTCTGATTAGCACTAATCGGAGGTAGTAGCTCCAGTTAGATTCAACGACTGCTTTATCGATCACATGTTATATGCATGCTGTCGAAATCGTCGATAATGATGTTTAACCAGCAAGTAGTGATAACCAGACATTGAACAACCGGCCCTTAATAATCTAATGTATGGGTAGTGCTGTTCCGATACGAGTACATATGAGTAAATACTCGAGTACCTCTACCAAGTACCGAGTATTTTTAGTACTTCGATACATGTGACCGAGTACTTGGTGGGTGTCGAATACGTTGTGCCAGTATTTACTCGGGCGAAGAAAGTATGCAACTCTAGTCAAATTAGTAAAGTTGCCACAAGTTGGATATATGAAGTTTGCCACGTATCCCATGTGCTGAAGCCAAGGCGCATCAATACAAGGTGGTGTTGATTGATCAGCTGAGTGGATATTTTTGTCTCTACACTAGTACAGGAGAATGTCATCCAAGACGAAGCGGCGCAACTTAGGATGTCAACAAAAGAAAATGATGGAAATTATCTCCTATTCCTATAGTACTATGAATATATTCCCTTTCGTTTTGACATCCTCCTGTACCAAAAAGCAATAACAAAATACACGGGACTTTTACTTAAATGCAATCACCACAACCTTGTATGGATGCGCCTTGTGCTGAAGCTTTATGGTATTTCATACAATAGCCTGCGTTACGCAGGAAAAATACGTATATACATATTTATGCTAAAAATAATCATTGATTTTCATATTCACAAAGCCATTTCTGAATTAAATTAGCCATTTCTAAATTAAATTATATCTTTGTAACTAACATATAAAAGTTGCGAGAATATGTATTTACCTATATTTATGTATATATTAAAAATATGCATACAGTATCGGTCATATCTATAGCACGCCATTTCAAAGTGATATTGTGTGTCACTTATGTTTATTTATTAATTTTTAAGAATTTTCAATTAAAATATAGTCCTTTCTCTAACAAACCCCATATAAACCCAAAATTTAACAATTTGTAGAAAGCTACAAAAAAGTGCATCAAATTTTCACATAAATTTCAAACTTTTTTCTCGGAAGTGTTAGAATTTTTTTGAGTACACAGTGTTTTAGCCCCTTTAATTTTAGTCTGATAATGTTCAAATTTGAAGTGGCTACGAATTACCATTTATTTTTTATAACTTTTTTTGTCGCATTGGCTTCCATATAATGAATAAACTCAATTTATTTATATATGGAAGAAATCCGCAACACCTTTGGCGAAAAAAATTCTAAAAAATCAACGGTAACTTTCAGCCACTTTAAAGTTGCACATTGTCAGACTAAAATTGATTGGGCTATAAAACTGTGTATTCAGAAAAATTCAAACACTTCCGACATAAAAGTTTGACATTTAGGTGAAAATTTGTTGCACGTTTTTGTAGTTTTCTACAAATTGTTACACTTGGGTTTATATGGGGTTTGTCTGAGAATGAACTGTATTTTAATTTAAAATTCTTAAAAATAAATAAATAAACATAAGTTGCACCCAATATCACTTTGAAATGGCGTGCTATAGATATGACCGGTACTGTATATTTTCATATTAAAAATCCTTTTTGCATTAAATTATATCTTTGTAACACATAAAAGATGGTTTTATTTATTTAAAAAAGATTGCAAACCTTTTTTGAAGTATTTCGTCCGAGTACTTTTGAGTACAAGTAGAATCGAGTATTTTCTAGCGATACATTGAGTAGCATCGAGTACCCCCTTCGATGCTCTAAAGTGAGTACTGGTATCGAGTACATGGTGGTATCGGACGAACACTATGTATGGGCAATGAATTCGAACGATTATAATGCACTTGAACGTAACGTAAAACGGAAGCATCCAAAATCAAAAGATCCTTACGAATTCGCCGCGATTTATTACGATTCGCCCCATGCATTAGGTTCTTTTCCGTACGCAACGCGGAATCCCGCGGGTGCCCAAAATAGCCCAGAAATCATTCCCGTACTCAACAAAATGGGTAATAGAGAGGGAAAATTGGAACGTATTGGATCGTAAGTGTCCTCTTCTTCCTGCCCAAAACAGCCCGGAATTTTCCCCGGGTAAAAATAGATAAAGCGTCAAAGTGCATATCAGCTGTCTTGTGTTTACATGTTGCCTGTTTCTAGTGATGTGCTGAGTAAATACTTTTAAGTATGGATCGATATTCGGTACGTGTTGACGTGATATGAAATATTTTTACGTCAACAAGTGCGATATCGATCCGAAACTTGTCGCTAACTGGTTACAGAATCTCCCCCCTGAAAGGCTACTTCGTCCGTAAAGGCATTTTTCTTAAACCTTTGATCAACTAAGATTAATAATAATATAATAATAATATTTCTCTGTTGCGATAAGTTCAAGTGCTTTAGCCGATATCATATAAATTAGTAATTAAAGTTTTTTCTAAGGGTTAATGTAAAGAATCTGTATCGGGTACCGAAAAGAAAGTATTGGGTACCGAAATCTTTTTTAATTATTGGGTACCGAGTATTGGGTACCGAAAATTCAACACATCACTAGCTGTTTCCCAAATTCTGGGCACGAAATGTGGTTTTTTGCGTTCCCGTTCTGGATTATGTTCCATTTTTGAGAGCAAACTTTTCGCTTATTCTCTAATTACCGGATCCGGTCCCGATTTTAGACTGCGTTTATACACGGAAACTTTTGTCGACGCGATTTTTCACACTCCCTTTTGGTGTTGCTCATTTCATTTACACGACGATTTTTGTGTATGCAATTGTTGTTGTCAGCTGTGAACCGCTAACTCAATTTACACAGACGAACGAGAGCACAAAGTGTGTTGCCCGAGCACGAGCAATTCGGTGCCCCTCTCCTTTCCTCGTCACGCTCTCTCCCACAAACGTCGAGCTACGGCAACAAAAATCGCCGTGTGTAAATGAGGAAAGAACCTATTATAACCAAGGTAAAAACGGCCCTGTGGCGACTGTCAAGGGCATTCAAGACAATGTAAACCGAAGCAAGAAGCAACAAATGTATTCATGCACACCTCCACACATACGAAATACATATTCCACTTTTGCTTCTGCGATAGCTTTTGAACCCAGAAGCTTATCGCAAAATGTCAGCATATGAACAAAATTTCAGCTAATTGGACGTCTTTTGATATGAGATTCTACTCTTTTGTAGTTGAAAATTTAATTATGCTAGTACTATTTCCACTCATTTGTTTATTACACGTTCACATGAGTCGATTTTCCAGGCAATTTTAGAGGCGATTAGTTGATTTAAAAGTTGCCTGCATTCCAACTTCATTGGAAGTGATTAGTTGAAAGGCCGTTCACAACAGGCGATTGTTGCTTTCAACTAAAAGTTGCCTGTAAAATCGTTTCATGCGGCCGCCGTATTAAAGATTATACCACTTTGGCCGATTTTCACTTCGTGATGATTCATAATTTTCAGTATGTATGCATAGTATGTACGTATATACATTTTTAATTTTTATTACTCCTTTCTATACCTATTCTATTGTTTCTCACACTTTTCGAACACTTTTGTGTGTTAACACCGTCATTGTCCGTATTAAAACACTAACTCACCCTTATTTCACTTGGCAACATAATTAAATAATGAAACTTTGCAAGATTATAAAAACAAAGGTCCTAAAAAATATCTGCAAAATGAAAATAGACCCAGGGATGAGCGTTTAGGGTTCGAACTAGAGGTGGGTAACTCAGCACTGTGCTGAATTACTGTGCTGACTCTTAAGGCCCGTCCACATAGAACTTTGGCGTTGCGTTGGCGTTGGCGTCGCTTCAACAGCTGACTTTGAATACATGAATTCAAATGCAGCCGTCCACATAGCCGAAATTCGACAACGCTCACGCCAACACAAAGCAAAAAGATGGCCAACTCTCAACTTTTCGCGTACGTTGCTCGTCAGCTGTTGCAAATAAATAAGATTATGTGAAATATTTTTCCTTTTCAATCAAGTGCGGGCAAGAAATATCTTTTTTAGTGCAATTATTGATATGAAATATTAATTAATCTCTCGTTAGTATGTTAATTTAGTGGCCCAAGCATTCGCTGCCAAACGTTCATTGTAGCAAGCATACTTTTAACGTGCGTTCTGTCAAACCAACTCCAACGCCAAAGCCAACGCGAAAGTTCTATGTGGACCGGCCTATAGAACTGTTCCGCAGGCTCAGACACACCTCTGAAAAAATTTCTAACTCAGTAACTCAGTTTATGTGCTGACAATGTATAGCTCAGTGTGCTACAGAGTCGAAATGGTAACTCAGTTGATGTGCTGACACTTGCATAGCTCGGTGCGGCTTGCATTGTTTAGAACTGTGTCCATGGTGAAATGAACTGAAGGTGGCGCATTCCCGAAACCGCTACTTTGGTTTTGCCGACTTTGACATTTATGGCAATACGTAAACAAACTTTTTGTTTAGAAACAAGTGCAAACATATTGCAAACGTATTGTGTACTTTCAAGTGAAAAATCGAAGTAATTCGTGCGTTCTGAAGTAAAAAACGTTTTTTTTGTAATAAAAACTTTATAAAAATGTCGTGTCGTGTGTTGAATTGCAGCAGCCGTAGGGGTAAAGCCCCCAAATGCAGTTTTTTTTTTTATTTCCCCGCGACGACGCCTTGGCCAGAAAGTGGGTAGAGTTCTGCCGGCAGGACAAGCCATACAATTTAGACACCAGCGTAATATGCTTGAAGCACTTTACGGACCACTTTTAAACACGACATTTTAAGTTGAAAACGTTGAAATACCACAAATTACAAATTAAAATCGGAGGTAAGCAAGCATCGACCACTTTCTGGAAAACATGCGCTGCGACAAGATATTATCACTTTTTCGGCACCTGCAATACAAACACAAAAATTCTAAATATTTAATTAATAAGACCTATTCTTTTGAACACATTTTAAAAGTGGTTGTATATTTTTTGTTAACGTAGTGCTTAATTTGCTATATTCAAAGATGGCTTGAGAAATTGGTGAATCGAGAAGAAAACATGTTTTCTCACTGCAAATTCACAACTGTCAACTCATTGTTCTTCGCCATATTCTTTGTTTACCCGTTGCCACAAATGTCATTCTGCGGGAATGCGCAATCTTGTATTCTATCGTTCTTGAACTGTGTCGATATGGTAACTCAATTGATGAGCTGACACATCCACACAATACGATCTTCCAAAAAGTACCGTCCATCACTAGACTAACCATCAATTGAATATACGACTACCAAATTTAACAAGAAGCAAGGCGAATAGCCCAGTTATGCATACTTGCACTGTTATACCATTTTTACGTAAAAATCAAAACCAAACAGAATTCTACATGTGAAGTGCTATGCGTTGGGTAACCGCTTACATGCATAGCCCATTTAACAGATTCTTATATGACAACTCTCAAGCAAAGCTAAGTATGCATAACTGGGCTAGAAGTTAATACATCCAAGGGGAATTATTTTGCAAATGAACTCACCAGTTGAAATCAGCTTTCTAAAATTTTGCCGGCCAGCTACGAACAGACGCTAAAGATAATCTTTTCTAAATCGATTTCGATTACTAACATCATCAAAAATTTCGATGTACATACCAATTGTGCGATAGCACACTTGTGCCAGCTCACTGTGCTGACTCTTTAAAGTGAGTTGGAGTTACTGAGTCAGCATACCAAAATTTACAGAGTTACCCACCCTCTGTTCGAACGATACTATCGATATTAAGAGAGCATCGATACTGATAGTATAAAAATGAGTAGTTTAATACTCGATACCTTATTTGTTGATTTTACTCGATACTTTGCAAAGTACTCGTAGTATCGAAAACTTTTTAAAAAACACACTTTTTAAATTTTTTCTTCGATTGGTAATCCAATTTTCTTTGCTTATATGGATTACTATCATTCAATTCTGTCCATCATTTAAAATAAACTGAAATTGCTTGTAGTCTGTTGCATAACATAAACCAAATAAGTTAAACGCTGCAAGCCGCGTTTCGAACGCGTCAATAGAGAGGAACATTGAATGTTCGAAAAATTCGCAGCGACGGAATCGTGCAAGTGTGCGCTAGCGCATTAAAATGTATGGGTAGCATTGTTGTCATTTTTGGGCTTGCGGATTCGCAACGACAGAATCGCGCCAATGTGCGCTTCGCTTAATGGCCTTATTCATAAAAAATAAAGTAGGTTTAAAGAGCTTAATAAAATGACATTTTCATAAATTCTTATTTTTTATGAATTAGGCCATAAAACTTTACGCAAAGTTCACGAAAATGCAGAATTTTTAGAAATTTTTTGGGTATGCAGTTTTGTAACCTATTCAACTTTACGTGTAGCCTACTACCGTTGACTTTTAATTCAAACTTTCACATTATTATACTAAAATGGAATAGGCTACAAAAATGCATACCCAAAAAGTTTACAAAAATTCTTACTAAAATTTGAAATTCGTGAAAGTATATATATATATATATATATATATATATATATATATATGTATGTATATACGAAACTCAACGTTAAAATTACTTCCAACGGGAAAGTAAGTTCTGCAATGAAATAAAAATCAAATATTTAATATTTCTATTGTTTTAATTTCAGGAAATAACTAGATATACGATTGAAGAATAAAATAATTTTAGTATCCCAAAAAACTTATTTTAATGAGTCCGATACTGAGTAATATCGATACTTTTTCCCTGATACTTTTAGAGTATCGATACCATGAGCTCGATGCCAGAATGAGTACTCAGTATCGATACCAACGTCTGAAAAGTCGAACTCTATGAGCGTTATCTTCAATCGACTGTAAAATTTATCGTTCACTAAATAGTGTTCCCACATGGAACATTCTTTTTTCGATAAATTTCATCGAAAAATTTAATTGTCAAAATTAGGGAACAAGTGCAGAATACGGCCCGATAAGGTAGAACAAAACGAAAAAGTGGGCGTGGTCCGCCCTTCCTTCCTGATTTCACCGGTATACAAATTTTTTTGGTGCAAACTTATATTTTCGTTGATATGGAGGGGTGAAGGGAGAATTTTCGAAAACTTAAAATGGCTATATTTCAAAAAATTCCTGACCGAATTCAAAAAAGTTGGTATCGTTGGAAAGGTAAATAAAATCCCTTATACATATTAATATACTTTCTGTGGATAAATTTTGAGAAAAATCAGGCAGTAGAATTCTCCTTTCTGTGTTGCCAAAGAAGGGGGGCTGAACAACTTTTGCAGAGAACACCTTTCTGCAACGAAAACACTTTGAAAACGAGTTTTGGGATTGTGAGCTGAAGGCTGTTCACACCAGCTGTTAGTGTTTTCGTTGACATTTCTTTTTGCTAACAGTTTTGCTTCGCAAAAACAAAACCAAAATACTTTTCCTTCATTTTCTTTGCATTTACAACCTCTTACTTTCATTCTTATTTTATTTAGGCAGACCAATTAACAATAACACCTGATTTACATGATTCAAGTACTTGAAAGCAATTCTTGCTCATTCTCTTTTGTGTTTTTTATTTGCTTTTACACGTTTCAATTCTGTTGAATTCAAGTCTTTGGTTCTTTAAATGGGAAGCAACGAAAATGCCAAAAGCAAAGCAAGAAAGTTGAAACGACTTGACGGTACAGACGCATGTGTACTCGTCCCTTTTCTTCTCACCCCCTCTCTTCCATGACCGAGCAGAATTGAATTCAATACTTGAACTGTGTAAAAGCACACTAAATCCGAAATGGCTTATTAAAAATGATAAAATATGACTTCCACTTCGATAAATAATCGAAAAAACTAGTGAAGACACCGATTGGAATGAGTGAAACGTAAGTTTTCAGGTAGTTTTCAGCGAAAAGTGGTTTTCGTTTGACAGATTTTATATAGACGAAAACACAAGTTTTAGGTCGAAAACCAGTTTTAGCAACGAAAACATTTTTTCGATGTCGGTCAGAACATGGCAATAGGGATTATAACCCTCTAACAGTAGAATTCTCCATTCTGTGTTGCCAAAGAAGGGAAGGTACCCACCTTTTGCAGAGAACACCTTTCTGCGTTGGCGGCCTTCGGCCGAACTCAGGGATTATAACCTTCAGGCAGTAGAATTCTCCTTACTGTGTTGCCAAAGAAGGGGGGCTGACCACCTTTTGCAGAGAACACCTTTCAGCGTAGGCGGCCTTCGGCCGAACTTGGGGATTATAACCCTCAGGCAGTAGAATTCTTCTTTCTGTGTTGCCAAAGAAGGGGGGCTCAACACCTTTTGCAGAGAACATCTTTCTGCGTAGGCGGCCTTCGGCCGCACTTAGGGATTATAACCGTCAGGCAGTAGAATTCTCCTTTCTGTGTTGCCAAAGAAGGGGGGCTGAACACCTTTTGCAGAGAACACCTTTCTGCGTAGGCGGCCTTCAGCCGCACTTAGGGATTATAACCCTAAGGCAGTAGAATTCTCCTTTCTGTGTTGCCAAAGAAGGGGGCTGACCACCTTTTGCAGAGAACACCTTTCTGCGTAGGCGGCCTTCCACCGCACTTAGGGATTATAAACCTCAGGCAGTAGAATTCTCCTTTCTGTGTTGCCAAAGAATGGGGGCTGAACACCTTTTGCAGAGAACACCTTTCTACGTAGGCGGCCTTTGGCCGCACTTAGGGATTATAACCCTCAGGCAGTAAAATTATTCTTTCTGTATTACCAAAGAAAATGGCGGAAGTATTTTTGCGCA